ACAAAAGTCGTTTTTGTTCGACCCGACTGGCCAAATAATAAATATATTTAAATTTCACAACGTTTCAACCGCATTTTCGGTCCTTCTCAAGTGATTCATCAAGCTGTGCATCCTCAAAAACCGCGTACAAAATATCAATTACGTCGCTGACATCGTGCCCTAACCACATCATGCACGCGTAAAGCTAAAAAAGTGAAATAAACTCGCGATAGTCAAAAAGATAAAAACGCTCAGAAGTCATAAAATAAAAAGTAAGAATACAATTAAATAAATAGTAGAGTTAAAAATAGTTAAGTTATAAATAGTTAAGTTATAAATAATGTACAAAGTAAAAAGTAAGGCTTACATATTATGTGCGTCAAAACGGAAAGTGAGAACGGTAGCACAGAACGAAGAAACGTCGCAAGCCATAACTGCGAACACATCAGTACAGCGTGACAGACGAAGTCATACTAAATGACTGATACATAACAAATAAATAGATGTGTTCACAGGTGGAAACGAGCAGAACAAAAGTGTAAATTAAGTGACGCCAATCAAACGGTTGTAATTCGCGGGCAGACTTTCTGTGTCCTTTTGGAGATTGATTGCGCTATCACATTTTTTAATAAAAAACATCTCAGAGATTTCACGTTTCTTAAAGTGTCGCTCCTTATATAAAATTTTTGGTTGTTGCCAATTGAAATCGTGGTTATGCGTGAGACGGTGCTTACTAACTACAGAATGATTATCGATGTTCTTCCGAATATCACAAAAATGTTCCTTAACCCGTGTCTCTAGGTGCCTTTTTGTTTGACCAATATATGCAGCGTTGCAATTAGCACAATCAATCTCATATATCAACTCCGTTTGCTTAAGATTAGGTAGCGTATCCTTCCCCCTTTTTATAATGCAATCCAACCTTTTCGGAATGGTGAGGAGAACCCTGAATTCTGCATCGCGCATTGTACGGCCAACACCGTCACTAAGGCCCTTAATATACGGAATAGTAATAAACTTTCGAGGATCCTGGGCTACATTGTTACTGCTAGATCTATTATTATTATTATGACGTGTCTGTAGCTCGTTAAGTCTGATATTAATGTACTTGTTAATTAATTTTATTGGATAACAATTATTAGAAAGAATCTTTTTTATTTCGATTAAATTAGACTTATGAAAACGTACGTCAGATAAAAGAATAGCTCGGTCAACAAGATTACGTATAGTATTAATTTTGTATTTGAGAGGGTGATTTGAAAAATAGTTTATGTATCGCCCCGAAAAGGTCGGCTTTCGGTACCAATTCGTAAGCAACACAGTCCCCTCTCGAATCACTATTGTGTCAAGAAAACTAAGAGAATTATTCTTTTCTATTTCAAATGTAAATTTTAATCTGGTGTGATAACTATTGAAAACTCTAAGTAACTCGTCAATACCAGATCTAGGAACAATCGCGAAAATGTCATCAACATATCTTTTAAAAAAGGAAATATGAAAACTAAGCAATTGCAAACAATGCGTCTCAAGGTCCTCCATAACCATATCCGCCAAAATCGGAGAGAGAGGGGAACCCATCGGACTTCCGAAGATTTGTTCATATATTTGACCATTAAAAGAAAAACTAGTGGAACTAAGAATCAAGTCCACAGCTGACAAGAATTGAGGACGGCTGAGCTTCGTCTCTTTAGAGATGTGATTCCACCTCCGTTCGATCGCTTTCAAAACAAGGTCTTTAGGGATGTTAGTGAAAAGAGACGCGACATCCAAAGAGATCAAAACATCATCCTCCCCAATCCCTACGTCACCAATCAATTCAACAAAGGACCAACCGTCCTTAATATATGACTCCGGTTTAGGGACAGATTTTTCTAAGATGTTGTGTAAAAAATAAGCCATGTTATATAGTGGACTCCCTAAAGTAGAAACAATAATTCGTAATGGTGAGCCATCCTTGTGAATCTTCGGAAGTCCGTAACAACGTGGGAGGTTCCCATTAGTACAATTCAAATGCCTAAATAATTGTTCGCTGATAATGCCCTTGCTAAACCAAGACTTTGCCAAAATATTAATTTTAGATGTTATCCGTCTAGTGGGATCATTTTTAAGTTTTTTGTAAGTCAAACTATCATTAAGCAAATCAATCATCTTATTAACATAAGTATTTCTCTCCAAAATAACTGTGACTTGGCCCTTATCAGCCCTGGTAACAAGAAGATCATCATTATCACAAAGAAATCTTTTGCAAAATTTAAATTCTTGTAATATAAACCTGTCGATGTAGTTAGTGTGTTTATTTTTGCGCAAAAATTTAAACAGAGAGTTAGAAATACGGTCACGTGCTTCATCAACAATATCATCGGGAATTTGATAAATATTAAATTCGAAGTTTTTAATTATGTCGACAACAGAATTTACACGATCTTTCTTGTTTTTTGTATCGATAGGGAGAGCAAACCTATCGCCGAGACTAAGGAACTTAAAAACTCTCTCAGGGATTTGCTTGTTACTCAAATTAATGATCCATTTTTTATAGTCAATATTAACAAGGGAATTAATTATTGGATTTTGTGTGGACATAACAGAATCGAACTTATTAATTAACCTTAATTGTGTTTTGCGGTCGTGGGTACGGAGATAATTAGTATTAAACATAAAAAAGTTGTTAATTAAATATTGCGGTAAGCGCTCGCGAAGCTGGTTCTCAACTCCAGTTATCGTAGACCGCAAAAAACATAAATTGATATTGGCATCACTAATCTCAAAGTTGAGAAGCTTTAGCTGTATACGTTTTTTAAAAAGTGTAAATTCATGTCTAACCCTGTTGCTATGTAGTTCAATGTTTAAACGTAGCCGGTGCAAGTGTGGGGGTAAGACGTCAGATCTCCTACAGCGGAGCAAGAATTTCAGCTGCTGGTTTGCTGAGATAGTCTTGATTTTGATGTTAATCCAAGATTTCAATAATAGCGTGGTCTCTAGTCCAAACTGTCTAGTAACAGTATTAAAAAATCCTTCGTCACGATGAAACACCATTTCTCTGGTCCAAGGTGTGTGGTAAAAACAAAATAAGAAGCTTTCTTCGCCAGTAAATAAATACAAAACAAAAGTCGTTTTTGTTCGACCCGACTGGCCAAATAATAAATATAT